TCTTTCTGTCTTTCTTTCTTTCGTTCTTTCTTTCTTTCTTTCTTTCTTTCTTTCTTTCTTTCTTTCTGTCTTTCTTTCTGTATTTCTTTCTTTCTTTCTTTCTTTCTTTCTTTCTTTCTTTCTTTCTTTCTTTCTTTCTTTCTGTCTTTCTTTCTTTCTTTCTTTCTTTTTTTCTTTCTGTCTTTCCTTCTTTCAATCTTTCTTTCGTTCTTTCTTTCTTTCTTTCTTTATTTCTTTCTTTCGTTCTTTCTTTCTGTCTTTCTGTCTTTCTGTCTTTCTGTCTTTCTGTCTTTCTGTCTTTCTTTCTTTCTTTCTTTCTTTCTTTCTTTCTTTCTTTCTTTCTTTCTTTCTTTCTTTCTTTTGCGTGGGCAGTTGGAGCAAAAGTGTAAGAGACAAACTTTCATGGAGCTTCATGGAGAGTCAAAGATTCAGATGTGATTTTTGCCAAGGTAGACCTGCAGATCTCGGAGCTTCATGGGGGGGGGAGGGGAATTCACAAATTCGTCTCAATGCATGAAAACTTTGCAAACCTATCATCTCTCCCCCCCTGCAGTTCTTCAGTTCGAGGCTGAGTGCCATGATAGAACTGTTCGGGCCGGCGTTAGCTACCGGGTTCTGCTTAGGTGCAAAGCAAACTGTCAACTGTGCCATGGTGAAATGGGTGAGGTAGGCCGCGCAGGACTAAAAGCACGCGGGGGTTGATATGTGTCGGTTGGACTTTCATTCAGAAAGGCCCTTCAAGCCAAAGGAACACTTTGAGGGTGATCCAAATACGCTGATCACGCATTGATGTGGCAAAACACAGGGTCCTGTCATTCAATCATTCCTTGGATCTGTTCTGTAAACTTGGCCTGAAAGCTGCGATGCGACAGCTTTCAGCACAAAGTCTCATGGGCCACTGTTGCGGCCTTTGGCGACGGCCGTTGGGTCATGCTGCCCTTCCGTAGGGGGTCAGCGGGTGTCGTCATCTGCGTATATGGGTATATGTATATTTATATGTGTGTATCTGTATCTATTTATAAATATATATATATATATTATTGTTGTGTTCATATACGATGCATACATGTCCCGCTCGCCCCTGGCTTGCTCGCAACCAAAAAGCTCGCTTCAGCGTCTCGGCGGACAACAACCCCTTGAACATCCGGAAGGCACCCATCTCCAAGTCTCCAGCCGGATAGATCACCTAAGCTCACTTTCCCCATGCGTTCCAGGGGGTCCTGTTTTGCTGGAAAGATTCATATCCCCAAGGAGTCAAACGAATGTCCGCTTCTGAGTTGTCCCAAAGTGGGGTGCTTCTCAATATGGAGGTTCGCTGAAACCGACAGCTTCCTGTTGAAGGCCCGTGACATGAATTCTTCCGATAAGTTAGCAAGAAGTTGCTTCCTAGGTGTTGCAAAGAATAGAAATGGCACATCTTCCATTTCAGGTAGCCGATGAGATGACAAACATCTGCTTGAGCCTTGCTCGACAGAGGACATCTTGCACCAACCTGGATCGCTGAACATGAGACTCGGACCTTGCAGAGAGGCTCCTGGTGAACTGCTCGCAGTTTAGTGGCATCAGGCCCAACAGTCCCGAGTCTCTGGGCGCCAAATCAAACTTTTGGCTCCACCTCGTTGAGGCTCGAAGTCCAGTTGAATCGGATCACATGCCAGCAATGCTTCCTCGATACGCAAGGATTAGTTGCAAATCACAAAGGTAATTGCTGATGTCCAGCAGGTGCAAAGGCCATGAAAACCCGCTTCGAGTTGCCGAGGCAAGCAATTGCCGCAGCTCGGTTGCGCTCAAACACATCTACAACGATCAACGGAAACCACTGGAAGGGTCTCTTGATGGCAGGCACCCCCTGATGATCAGGAGGGTTCTTCCGACAAATAACAAGCCAGTTTCAGGCCAAGCCGCAAAGCGCTGCAGTCGCTCGGGGAAGTAGGACTGCGCAGAGGGGCGCTTGGCGCTTGGAAAGGTTGCCACAAGGAATGCTCTGAAGGGCTCATGGTTTATGTTGCAAAGAAACCGGCCATCCTGCGGCATAGCTTCCATTGCACATAGACATGTGATGGCCAAGGTCTTGAGTAATCGTAGTAACACTCCTTGTCCAGCCCGTCACAAGGGATCCTGAAAATGGGCACGATGATTGTGTGAAAGTGAGGACGAACATCCCGAGCAGCCCAAAGCCAGCAACCCCAGCCAACATAGCGGCAACCCCCCAATGAGGGAAATATGTCCTGTGACAACGCTGCAACCACCCTCTTCCAAAATGGAAATGAATCCCCAGGCAACTGACAAACGGTAGTTGATTGCTACCTTGAGGACATCCACATGCAGGAATGTCCAAACATTTCCCCCGCCCAAACGGACGGCCACCATTTGCACATGAATTACCGGTATGTTTCTAGGGGTTGATTCCCCATTCTTTTCAGCCATCGTTCTTGTCAAAAACCAGCCATTTCCCCGGTGTTTTGCGTTTTCTAGAAAGAAGGATCTCCGGAAATAATGGGGGAAGCTACCCCTAGACTGATTTTCACCTAGCCTCGCATGGGCCGCCGCACTTTCGCACTGGGCCTGGAAGATCTTGGCCATGGCGGAGATGTGCGACCAGAGCCGCCAGACCGGCTTGGCGTCGTAGCCCAGGGCCGTGTGGGGTCTGCAGTCCAGGAGCACCGTGAAGCGCAGCGTGTCCGCGCGCTCCACCTGCCAAGTGTCCTTTTGTAGATATTTAGTACCCCTTTCAGGAGGGGTTTAAAGAGCAACATAGGGAAGAAGCCGGAAGGAAGACCTTTCTGTTGGTTCGCTTTTTCTTTTTTTGGCACGTACCCACCTCCACGTCCAAGCTGCGGACCAAGGTCTGGCAGTAAAGCCTCGGTCTGCAGCTGGGTGTGGATCGGGCCTTTTTCCCGGTGCAGGTTCAAAGAAAGGAACCCAAAAGGAGGTTGGTTCTTGAAACAACTGTCGCTTTCACATGGGTTGAGCCACTGCTTTGCATCAAAACTAGGACTAGGAACCCCAAAAGCCGCCAGGACATCCCCCCCCCCATTCTCATGGCTTCCTTTGACCTGTCGCGCGTGCGCAACAAGCGCGCGCCGCGCGGCTCCGGCTTGAAGCTGATGTCGATGTTGCACGGCAGCAGCAGCAGCAGCCTCGACCCATCCCGCGCGAAGCCGTTGAACCGGAAGGGGTTCGGCAGCCCGGCGGGCGAGGGCGGCCACTTGGCGATGCCCTGCGCATTCGACCGGTGGCCAAGCGGGGTCGGTTTACACGTCTACCCCCAATAGGCCTATAGCAGCTCGGGTTTTTTTGATGGTTTTTGGGGGGTGGTTTACCTTAGTAGGCCGCCTGTATCAGCCGCTTTGATGGTTTTCGGGTGGTTTTCAGGGGACGTTGCTGGTTTGGCTGAGGCTGGGGAAGCTCTATCTCGAAAGAACCAAATATGTGTTGGCAAGCTTTGCAGAATTTGCAAACCGTGCAACCTACCTTGCACGGTGGATGGCACATTTGGTGCAGACTAGGAGTGAAACAAAGCTGTAGCTCTTCTGGCCGTGGATGGATTGGTTGGTGATACACCAAGCAGAAACGTGAAAGTGCCCATGGTTCAGCATGTTGACGCATCCATCGTTGCCTTTCATCTGACAAAATCAATCTTAGGAGATCACAGTACATCTGGCTTCTCGACAAATGTCAGCAGCTTGGATCGCACCCACCTCGGACCAGATGTCAAACAAAAGCTGCTTCACAACACTCCGTGTCAACCACAACTCATCAGAAGTTATCCACCAGACCCTCTGATCATGAGCTCAACGCCTGAGCCAATGCAGCGAGCACAGAGCCTGACGTGCTCACTGCCCGGGCGGCTGCTGCACACCCTCTGACAACCTTTTTAAAGTGCGTCTTCGTGGTCCACATTCCCGGAACAAAAAAAACAATTTTGAGCATCAAAGCACATGATATTCAAATCGTTCATCAAAAATGTTGAAAAAACATATTGATCACAATGCTAGATAATTCTATGAATTGCTCGTAGGGTTGCCCCATAGACATTTTGAGGCTGCTACCTATTAAAAAAGCAAAACCGTCGCCACGTTTGATAGCAGCTCGGGCAAAGCCAGCCAGCCACAGCCGTTTGGGCTTGCTCGCTTTGAACTGGGGGTCTTTTTGCCACCCCTTGTGAGAAAATTGGCCACCCCCCCTCAACAAGCAATGCTTCACAAGGGGGTCGATCACTTTTCCACCCAAAAACACAAAACTGGCTTTGAAGACGTGGTTGTCCTTTGGTTTCGCTTTCTGTTCGCTCCAATCGCGAACGCCCTGTCTTTGAACACCCTGGCTTTGAACACGCGCTGGCCTTGCGCCACTGGAGGTAGGCCTCCACCAGTTTGGCGGCCTTCTCGCAGTTCCCGGACACGCTCTTCCGCGCCAGGAACCGCGCCAGCTCGGCGGAGGGGCACTCGGGGAAGTCCACCTGACCCGAGAAAAACCCGGACTAGGGGGGGGTGTTGACCCCATATGAATCAACCCCCCAGTTTTAATTAGTAGGGGGGGAGTTCCCCCTCCAAAAGTGGTCTGATTCCCCACTAAACCAAAGGGGGAGGGGATTATTTTCGGTGCGCAGCCATACCTCTAACTTGTGGATTCCCACTGATGTTGACCCCATGAGAATCAACTTGGTTTACAAATAGGGGGCAGTGGGGCCCCTCCAAAAGTCGTCTGATTCCCCCAAAGAAACCCAAGGACACCCCCCTATTCATAAACTGGGGTTGACTAATATGGGGGCAACACTAGTATCCAATGGAACGATCCTAGTCGGAATGTGCCCGAGTTTGGTCATTGGTTCAAGGAAGCATTTGGACGGTGCATTTAGATTCATCAGAGATCTGACAATGGTGATGAACAGTCAGCTCCAGTGCTTCGTCCAATGGTTCACAGCCATCTGGGCACTGTTGTTGCTGCTGTGGTGTCGTTTTCTGATTTGCTGAATGCGTTCGCTTTCCTACCAAGGAGTTGCTGCTACTTTTGCTGCCTGTTTCGTGTATAGACTGTGTTGTAGTCTTTGTTTGCCAATAGTGCTTGTGACGTTGTTCTCTTTGTAACAGGCCGAACAAGCATTGTTATCGTTTTAATGAATGGTCAACTTCAGTTGCTTGGAATAGGTCTGCTGCTTGAGGTAGGTGTCGGCGCCTCGCATTGTCTCCCCACCAACCACAACACGTTCACCTACGCAGTCGCATTCTCAACAAGGAGTTGATGGACACGTTGTGCCCACAAGGAAAGCTGAAATGACATATCACTATCAACGGGCCATGCTTGAAACTCCCGCACTACCCAAAACAAATAGAATTGCCTGCCTTGAGCTGCTGCAAGGAAGTCAGTGGCACCTTGTAATGCGCAGCGATGTCGTTGTCGGCTTTCAGTTTGGGGATCACCATTCCCAGGCTGGTGCTGGTGCCCCCAAGCTGCTCCGAGTCAGAAAGGTCGTCAATCGCATCAAAGAACTCCACAAACATCTCGTCCATCTCCGCCTGCCTCTCCGCCTGCCTCTCCGCCTGCCTCTCCGCCTGCCTCTCCGCCTGCCTCTGCTCGGTCCTCAGAGCCCGAATCCAAATCAAAAGAACCTCCTCTGTCTGTTCGGCTACTGTGCAGCGCTGTGGAGGGGGTGAAGGGGGGGGCACTCCGAAAACCCCAACTCGCTCCACAAGGTCCTACCTGCCTTCTGCAAGTTCAAAAGGGCTCTCTTGGATTCTCAATCTCTCACACCCAGCCTCTGGTTGGCTTTCCTCTCGCGCTGGAGACGGCTCACCGGCTCCTCGCCGAAGTCGGAGTCGTCGTCGTCCTCGTCGAGGTTTCCGTAGACGGTGGCTGCCACCCGCTCAAAGCCCCTGGCTACCGGTCGCCAGGGGCAACATCTGCAGCACCACCTGGGCAAACCGAGGCGCCATGGCCGCATCCCGGCCATTTGGGTGGCTGTCGGTCAAAAAAAGGTACCCAAAATGGAAGCCTGGTAAATGGAAACGTTGACTCAAACCTGCGGTCCCCTAGTGGTGACATTTGGACCCACAGCCATTTGTTGATACCTTTGCCTCAGTTCAAGGCAGATGCTGCCTGCTTAAATCCCAGTCAAACTTGATGCTTCCCATGAATCACCTCTTGCATCGATGCAAGCTGGTGACATGAGCAAAACGAAAACTTGGGAAGGCAAAAATGTCTGGCAAGTCAAAGCAATATCTCATTGACCAATAGATAAGAGTGAACATCTCGACCAACTCCAAGCATCATAGACATCCGAATGCTGTGGCTGCCAGCCAGAATTTCCACCCAAAATGTCCACTTCCCCTGCCTCGGTCGAAATGATCGAGGGGAGAGCATAGCATCGCGCCCGCGTGCTTGAGGCTGGCTCAGCTGGGCTTCGCTTCGGGCGCTTGAAGCGGAGTGGATGGTGGCCTGTGGTTGGTTTCAGGCAGTGGCCTGTCAACACCAAGCATGGGGTCCGAATTGGGCACATCCGGATGCTTACCAAAATACGAAACCCCTCTTCTGGCTAGGTTTGGCGACACCCCTACGAGGAACCGATAACGGTACCAGGGGATCGATTTTGGGTAGGCCCCTATCAGCTTTGCAAATTGGTGCGGATCGGTTTTGGGTAGGCCGCTACCTTTTTTTCCGGTGGTAGTGTTGTCGATTACTCGTATAAGAAATGAAAGAGCGGCCTGTTTCCCCAAGAGGACACCTTGGAAAATCAGTGAGTCTCGACGGTGTGGGTGTTTTTCTTTTTTCCGGTGAGGCGCCAAAGTCCTACCAAAACGAGTCGCATCAGCGTGCTAAGCACCCAGGCCTGTCGTCCAGCGCTGCCAAGCGCATCCTGCCCGCTTTGACGATCGGCCTCGCTTCGGCCGCTTTGGCCGCCCAAAACACAATCGAAAAACAACAGTCAAACATGCCGAACTGGTTGAATGTGGGAGTCGGCAGGTTTGGGGGGGTGGGGGGGTTCTTTCCTTCAGGTCAGTGGGATACTGGTGTAAGACACAATGGTTTTCCAAATAAGTGGTGGTTTTTATTCCCTTTAGATTTGCGTTGACGTATCAAAACCTTCCGCGAAGCTTCCGCGGTGTGAAGGGTACCTTTCGCGAGCATTTTTCTCTATAAGTTTGTATAAGTGCTTCCGCGGGCCTTCCACAGGCAAGTTGCTTCTGGACACTGAGGAAGGTAGCTTCCGCGAGGGAATTCGCGAGCACGGCTTGCAAGTAAATGTGCTTGGCAGCAACCACCCAACCGAAATCAAACGACTATGCGCAAAACAACCAGGTCCCTTCCGCGAGCTTCCGCGGGAAAAACCCTCCGCAAACCTTCCTCGAACCTTCCGGGACTGCAGTGCGGCGCTACCTGTTTTGTTGATGTGTCAACATCTATACATGTTTGCTTGTGCGGAAAAATAAACCGCCACTCAGATGGATCTCTGGCTGCTGTGGCTCGATCCAGCGGAAAACCAATGCCGCGAGGCAGTGTTCA